CTCCCTCTATATATATATATATATATATATATAATATTGACCGCTAATTTTGTTATTAGTGACTAATGTTATTTATTTATTTATTTTATATAATGTATTTTTTTTTTATATAGTGAATTATTCAATTTAGAAGACCTAAATCTCAAATTTAGAAGACATGTCAAGCGAGTAAGTCTTGACAATATTGACACATGTCTCATGTTAACATATTCATTGAAATAAAAAAAATTGTAATCTTCGACTTCACAAATTACACTTTCATCTTCAAATTATCATTAATTTTACTCTTTCTCACATTGATAACTTCTCTTTCAATTAACTTTTTTTTTTAAGAGAGGCACCTCTAACGACTACTTTCATTACTCATAATACTTTAACATTAGGATGGAACGAGGCAGGTCGGGTACGAGTTTCATGATACCCGTCCCCGCGAGTCAAACTTATCCCGTCCCCGTACCCGTACCTGTCGGGTATGTAATTTTCATCCCCGTCCCCTCCCCGTCGAGTATTGAGTATACATGTACCCGTATCCGTACCCGTCAATTTATTTATTTTTATTTTTTGTAAAAAAATATGATATTTTTAAATTATTTTTTTATTATATTATAATTATAATTAGGTTATTTTTCTATCTCATATTATAATAAATAATTACACATAAAAAATATTAAAATTATTTAATATAATTAAATTAAAAGTGGATATTAAATTAAAAATAGAAACGGGGACGGGTATGTGTACGGGTACGGGTATGGGGCGGGTAAGTACATACTTATACTTTTACCCGTACTCGATTTAATATATCGGGTTTTATCCGTACCCATACTCGTATCCCGGCAAACTGAGTATTCCCCATCAAAGTCGGGACGGATTCAGATATTACTCGCGAATACAGATATATTTGTCATCCCTATTTAACATCCATTATTGTTGTTTGTGAATTATGATGCATAAATGTCATATAAGATAACATCTTTTAAGTTTGTAAACAATGTTAACACAAGGTATTAGTGTGAAACCAAAAAAATAAAATTTAAAAGAACAAAATGGAAGCTTAATTTTCTTACGTTGATATAAAGATATATTATCAATTCATCAATAATCATTTCTAGAATATAAATAACAATAGTTATTATAAAGTTAACCAACATATTTGAGTTTAAATAAAATAAAATATAAATAATGTATAAAAATATTTTTAAAATTTAAATTAATCAAAGATAAAAATAAAAACTAGAATTTCGTGAAAAAGAAAAAATTATATATCTGTGTAAAAAAAGTATTAGTATTAGATTGTTATCTAATGCAACCAGAAAGAAAATGTTAGTTCCTTCTAAACTAACCAATCGAAATTTTCTCCAACGTTTAAAACTTGAAAATATTAAAATTAAAGAAATATTTTTTTAAAAATTGTTGGCAGATGCAAATGAGTGACGAATGAGTCGGAATCTCTCAAAAAGAAATGGTTGTCTCATTTTGAACATAAGGAACACAAACAAGACATACAAAAAATGGTGCAAGCATAAACGATTCAAAATGCAGGGTTTAGTTCGCAAAGTGGTGTCACAGGCACACCGGCCCCATCGCCACATCTTCCAAACTCGAGTTCACAGCGCCTTCTCCTCAGTTCCCAAACCTTCACAACCCCAACTACAGCAATTCAACCACATTCCCTCTCTCTTCCTCCCTCATCGTTTTCACTCATGCCGCTTCCTTTCCACCAAGCTTCGCGCCTTTCTCTCCCAACCAATGCCTCGCCACTTCGCCTTCAACACTCTTCATTTTCGTCGACACAACTTCAATTTCAACCACAATTATGCTTTTCTCCAGCGTTCCTGGTAATTTTCCCTAACATTATGCCTCCAATCACCGCCTCGTTTTTTCTTATTAGAATACCTCCTGGATTTAATTAGGGTTTTTGCTTGACATTTTTCCCTCAACTATATATTCCTTGCATGATTTTACCCTGTGGTTGAACTTGAATGGCAATTTGGATCTCTGTACCACGCTGTCCTCGTAAACTTCTCTATAAACACTTACCCAAAAAGAAAATAATGAGGTCAAATGAATTTAGCTTCTCTTATAAGCTACAACCAACTTATACACTTGAGCTTTTGGAGAAATTAAATGAGACAGTTTCTATAAAAGTTAGGTGTTTAAATTAATTTTTGCTTACGAAGGAAACTTAGGGGGGTGTATTGGATTAGGATTTTAAAGGACTTTTTTAGTTAAAAAAAATCCTGCGGATTTTAAAAGACTTTGCAGGATTTTCATGACTTTTAAGATTTTGCAAGATTCTACAAGACTTAAAATCAGGATTTTAATGGATTCTGCAAGACTTTTAAATTAGGATTTTAATGGATTCTGTGGGATTTTGTGGAGTTTTGACATTTGATAAGATTTAAAAAAAATTATACATTCAAATTTAAAAAGAGTCAAAGATAAAAATAATAAATAAAAAAAATAATGTCTAGATAAATAATAATAATAATTCTCTATAATATTCTATCCTCTTTTTATAGCATCCACTATCAATTGTAACAATTCATCGGAATCATCCTTAATCCAAGCTTCATAGTTTTCTTTCTCTTTTCATTTTTCTTTATTATTTCCTTGTGAATCTCCCATTTGAATTACTAAAACAATATATGTTAAAAAATAGTTATATAAATAATTACGGATAATAGACAAAATCAATAAAATTATATTATTATTTTTAGAAGCACACCATCATACAAGATCGAATATATTTTTGCTATCCAAATGGATCAAATACCTCAGTTATTATAAAAAAAA